CTCCCTGCCGTTCTCCGGACACCTGCGCCTCGGGACGGCAGGGAGCCGCGGCTTCCTCTGGGTAGGCAGGAAGTCTCCGTCCAGGGCCGTTTCGCCCCCTTCGAGGGTGCACGTGGTCCCTTGGTGAAGTGGAAGGGCGAGGCCCGGGGCTAGAAGCCTCGGGAAGAGAGGAGGGGGAAGAAGAGCTGCCGGGCGGTGGCGGGAAGCAGGGGCCGAAGGTGGCAGCGGCGACCACATCTGACTCCCTCTCCCCAAGGCGTCCGAACGTCTTCTCACTGCGAAGGCTGGGTTCAGAAAAGCGTCTGTGTCTACACAGGCAGAGGAAAGCACCAGCCTGAGTGTATGAATCTAGTCAGCATGGCCAGTCTAAAGAAGCCCACGCCTCACCAGCCCTTGGCACTTTGCCTTGGGCGAACTCCTCAGCCCCTGTGCTGGGCGTGGCCGGTGCAGAAACGTTCGCGTCCACTGCCCTCCACACTGTCACACACAGGCCCTGCCACCCTGAGGGAATTTCAAGGACCCGGTGAATGTCGAAAGGAGGCCTGGCTTCCTACTTCGACTAGGAAGGAGGAAATACGGAATCCCCTCCCCACCCATGATCTCCAAATTGCAAGTACCACTTTTGAAAGGAAATGAGATTGTTGTTGTTATGAAACAACCCAAATCATTTAATGAAGCAACCCAAATCATTAAAAAGCCAATTTGAAAAAGAAATCAACCTGCATCAGTAGAAAGGCAATTTGGAAGAGATATTTCCTAGGTTTCCACTCATAGAAGGTACTCACTTCATGGGTGCTGCTGGATGGAGCGGCATCAGCAAATGTCTTGCTCAGTTAAGCTCGGCAGGTTTAGCTGAATGAGCCCAGAGGGACCCATGAGTTAATTATGTACACACAATGCTCCGGCTAACACAATTTAGGAAGTACTTGAAGTTCAGAAAAATGGGAAAACAAGTCCTTAACTGTGGTTGGGAATTGCCATTAGATTTCCATAAAAAATAGACATTTCTGGCAGGTAAAAAACAACATTGTCTCCATCTCCAGGAAGCAACTGCATATGCCATGGAGAAGAAAGTAGAAATGTTCCTTGAGATGAGTTTTTTGGGGAAGTCAGCTTTCAATTGGCTCTATTTGTTTCTCATCTGGTGGCTGAGTCTCACACACTTGTCCAAATATTTGTTCCAGAACCACATATGAACTTCCAGGAGCAGAAGAAGACAGGTGCCAGTGGATTCCATCCACTTCAGTACCAGTTGTCCTGGCTCAGCTCTTCATATGAGCCATGTCCATTAACACTGTCTGGCTCAGCTCTCTTTTAGTCCCAGAGTCCCAGAGCAGGGTAAATCTATGTTCCTGTCTTAGTGTATCAAAATGGTGAAAGACATCTTGCCTTCTGACAGAATGACCTTACATGGTGGCTGGAGGCCTTGGGACAACATTTGGGAAATTCTTTCTCCTCTTCCTGAAATATGAGCTGGATGGGGACCAAGCTGCATGGTGAACCAGGTAGGCTCGGCCTCATCAGCCTGGCTGAGCTTGAGGAATTTTCCACTGTAACCAGTGGGTGAAATGTCCCCTCCACAGATTGAGCCTTTGGGTTTATTAAATTTTCTTTTTCACATTTCCTGCAACATTCCTCCAGCATTCAATAGTCCAGGCATTTTTCGTAAAACACAAGTTCTGAGAAGGCAAGTTGGATAGGTCTCCAGGTTAAGTAGATTTCAAAGTTTCCATTTTGTGAACTGCTCTTTTCTTCTATGAGTGGGAAACCAGCCCCTCCCCCCAAAGCCAAGGGAAAAGAGCTGTTGGCTATGTGAACACAATGACATGCGGTGATGGAGGTCAGGGAGTGACAGGCGCCCTGTGCATTACTGTAGGGACAAGCACTGCATAGATCACTCCTCGGAAAACTCATGGCTGCCTCAGTGTTTCTCCAAACTTTGCATTCTTTCCAGAAGCTTTGGCCATTCCCACGTGCTGTTTCCTTTGCCTGTCCTCACGCCTTGGCGTTCTTCAGCCTCTAAACAGTCCCTGCTTCATTGAAGCGTTCCCTGATGACACTGCAGTCCCTACCACTGGTGTCTTCTGTCTCCACACTTTTTTGTCTTCTTCATAACCCATTGCACTTTATAATATTTGTTTGCTTATTATCGTCATTTGTGTCCATCAGATCTCTTATATTGAGTGTCTGACACTTAGTAGATGCTTAATTATTTGTGATAAATGGAGATGAATATTTCTTGGGTGAATGAGTAAATTACTGAGTTTGTTTAGTTTAATATTCAGGTTTTATACTTCTATTTTTCTTAAAATATATGTAAGAAAACAATCTGTTGTGAGCCAGAAATTATCTAGCCCTTAAATGCTATTCCTATTGAAATAATTGTTTCTATTCATTCCTAAATGCACATACACCAAAAAAAAAAAAAAAAAATTACTAAGCACTTAATGTATGTCAAGTATTGTACTAGGTGCTGGGGATACAGAGAACACAAAAGAGTCCCTTCCTCCACGGAACTTAAAATCTATTATCTAATTTAATTAAATGAACTTTCTTAGAAATACAAAAAACTCATTATAAATTAACAGACTATAGCATAATGTTACTGTGATATTAGACACAGCTGATTTTCAGTCACTTACTTTCATATCCTGGAGCAAGTTACAATCTCTCCCTAAGCCGTTATTTTCTTGTCTATAAATTAGGGAGATGAATAGTGTCTACTTTGAAGGGTTATTGTAAGGATTAAAGAAGATCATGTGTGGAAGGAATATGTTGCTTTTATTTGGAATTGAGTATTTGCTTTCATTGTCATCATCATCAATATTCAACAGATGTTCAAGCACCCATCATGTCAGGTCCTGGGACAGGATGAGAGGCTAGGTGACATCCACTCATGAGGTGTAGAGTCAGTCTCTGACATCATGAAACTTGGTGTCTAATTTACAGCTTGTGTAAAGGGGCCACAGGCGTCAAAGGGGGCAGAAAAGGGAATTCAAAGGCTGACCTATTTCAGACCCTATACAAAAAGGCCAATTGCAAATACACAACCTTCTTAATTTACCCGGTTCGACACAACAGGATGGGGATGTATTCTTTCTGTATCACCCTTGTCATGGTCTCCTCCCCCAACACTCATATACCACCCCTACTACCCCACTCCCAACACACACACATGTCTTACTCTAGTGTTTTCTACATTGGAAACTTTTAGGGTCATCCTGTTCAATTAACTTGTTAAATATCTACAATTTTATTAAAACCTTTGACCTAAGCCAGCCTAGAGATTCTTAATAGAGGTTTTAGGTGACAGTCCTGGTTTGTGTCCCAGCTCAGGCATTTATGAATGTTGCAACCTTTGGTAAATAATTTTACATCGCCGAGCCTCTGTATTTGCAAAATGGAAGGAAACAATCCTGGCTACTCCACAGAGTTGTTGGGTAGCTCAGAGACAATGTAAGGAAAGCCCTTAGTCCAGGCTTGGCCCAAACCAGGCTTCCCTAAAACGACCGCTCTGACTCCTAGCTGTGCTTCATGGAGATCTCCATCTGCAGAGAATTGCAGAGATGCAGCCATAAGTCAACTGTTCATGTGACCTAGAAACCTGAGTTTTACCACCTACCAGTCTGTCTTGAGCAACTAGACACTGGATACATGAAATCATACCATCTTGCAAAAAGCCCTTTATAAAACATGAAATCCTGTGCAAATAGAAAGGATTAGGATTATCCTCTCTTGACTTTCACACAATGAGTGCAGATTTAGTCACATTTCTCTGTTGAGGAACTGTATGAAAGCTCTCTCTATGATCACTAAGACCAAATGCACAACTCCAACTCTCTAAGGTAGTTTGCGTGCTGACTGCCCAGGGGATGACCACATGAATTTCTAGCAAGTTTGAATTTCTAGCAAGTTTCAAATTCCTGTTTGTGCATGCTACAACATGTAATACCATGGACGTGATTCTTTAACATGGTATTTACGCGATGAAAAAGAAAACAAAACCTCTTGCCCTCAAATTGTCGTACTAATTCTAGACTCTGGACTCTGAGTGGATCTCATCATGTAAATGGTCTCGCAGCTACTCACGTACAGAAACTTATGAAAATACACAGTGGCATGCTGAAGCTGGTAGGTACTGCCTATTTAGAGCTGATTT